CATTGGCCAGTATCGCTACACTAACACTATCTTGTTCTAAATGGTGCCTCTGATAACACAACAACTTTATATCAGAGTTCCATTCAGAATTTTGAGACTAGGCTGATAGTCATTTTGGCTAATATCTCTATTATTCTTGGCTACTACAATATTAAATGTAAACTTTTAGGAAATACATTTCATTCATTCAACAAATATTCACCAAATAATTACTGAGTGCCAACCATATGTTGTGAGGAAACTGCAGTGAAGTGAACAGACGCATTCCTATCATAAGGCAGCTATGTTCTAATGGAGTAAGAGAAATAAGAAATATGTAAAATATACAATATGTTAAGTGGTGATCAGTACTATGGAGGAAAAAAGGCAGGTAATGGGATGAAGAGTGGCATGTATATTTGAGGGAGGGGTTCATGTTATCTGGGGAGTTCCGGGGAGGTCTTGGTGAGTTGTGACATTTGAGCAATGACTTAAAGGAGAAGAAATGGCGAGTACGGAGGACGTCTGAGGAGAGCTTTCCAGGTTAAGGGACAGCAAGTGCGAGAACTTGAGAAGGGAGGAGGTCTGCCGTGTTCTACTTACCGCAGGGTGAACCGGCAACGAGCTCGGGGCATTAGGAAGGCCAAGCTGTGTAGGGGCACGTAGGTTGCTGTAAGGACTTGGCCTGAATGACATAGGAAGCTGCGGGAATGACATGACGTAGAAAGATTTTTAACTTATTTTGACCCTTGAGTTTTTCCTTTTTTGCTTCCCTCCTGCATTTGTACTCTCCAGAGGGACTTTTTCTTGACTCTGAATCCTTTCTACACCACACCCGGGAAATGACCTCCATAGACCCCAGCTTCTGCCTCTTCACGTGGGGGTTCTCTGTGGCCTCTCTCGAGGCCGCCCTCACCCTGCCACGCCGCAGGCGGCCCTCCTGCCGCTTCGGAAGTGGCAGCTGCTAGGAAAGCCCTCCCTCCGGAGGGCTCCACATCTCGCCCCTCCTTTCGCTGCCCTTTACATTCCTTTTAATTATTCCCCATCATTAATTGAAGATATTTGTCAGCTGGACCTCCTTTCCACCGGAAGCATTTCCGGCACCCTGTGGCAATGCAGTGCAGAGCGGTTGATGCCCCAGCTCCGTAGTCTTGGTCCCAACCTCTGTGACACCTTTCTCTTAGTTTGGTCCGGCCAGTCATGCCCACAGCCATAGCTTAGACCTCGTGCATTTTTCTTCAGGGATTGTCCATGCCTGAAGTGTTAAACTCTGAAGAGCGTGGAGTGAGGTGCGACGTGTATGAATACATTTAAGCGGTGTATAGCCGGGTCTCCAGTCTTGCTGTCTCCCGCCGCCCTCGCACCCTCGCAGGGCCACACGCCGGCCTCTAGGGGGAGCCCACACTCCCGCCGGCGCGGTGCCCGAAGGACAGGCCGCCTGGGATCCGGCGCTCAGCGCCAGCGGGACACAGTGACTAGTTCTATGCGCCCTGGAGTCACAGGCCTTTGTTCAAATCCCATTCTTCTACTTTCTTACTGTGTAACACTGAGCAGGCTGCTCAAGCGCTCACCTGTCGAATGAGGGTGAGGAGACGTGCCCCACAGGGTACACATGAGGAATAAGTGAATGAATGTAAATGGCATACTTACTACAGTGCTTCCTGGTTAAAGTTTGATTTTCTTTGAGAGAAGTGAAGAGGTTAAAGGCTATTCTTGTTCTCTGGGGTGGTCTCTTCTAGGTCCCTCTTGTTGCAAGTAGGAATTTAAACTTTTGTAAAGCTTCTGTGCTGTGGTATTGCCACACAGTTGTGTGAGTGGACCTGGTCACCGCCCCCTTTCCCACAGCCCTGCTCTGGTTCCCCAAGGCCCAGCAGGACACGGGCCTGGGACCAGAGGAAGAAACTGGGAGTAGGTGTCTTCTGCGAGTCTCCCTATGCCATGAGACATCCTTCTCTTCCTTGGGTTCATTGAGCAGGGAATATGCAGGTAATACATGTTTTCCTTTTTTGGTATAATGCGTACATAGCTCATTTCTGGAGAGTGATACAGAAACAGTTGTTGCTTATGAACCATTTAAAACAGTCACAGCCCGTTATTTTCACTTGTTTGTTACAAAAAGGGGAAGAAGGATAGTGTCTCTCATAGCAGCATGCCAGGTTTTTTTTACAAGGCTGGAACAGGACTAGTTGCTGCGCACAACTAGATGTGCTAACCTCACATCTAGTCTTCATCCCTCTACACTCTGGTTTCTTTTCCCTCCATCCCACCAAATCTTCTGGTCTGGTGCCTGGGTGAGGAGGCCCCGATACTGAAAGGGCCAGGCATGGACATAGTTCAAAAGCCATGCAGAAATGTGAAGATCCAAAATATAAGAGCAATAGGTTTGGATATTTTTTAAAAATATGAGCTATAAAAGTCAATTCAGAGCTGGGTATGGTGGTACATGCCTGTAGTACCAGTTGATTGGGAGGCTGAGGCAGGAGTATTGCTTGAGCCCAGAAGTTTGAGGCCAGCCTGGGCAGCATGGTGAGACTTCATCTCTACAAAAAGTAGTGAAAAAAAAAATGAGGGGAGCATGGGTGGTGTTCCCCTGTAGTACCAGCCACTTGGGAGGTTGAGGTAGGATCGCATGAGCCCAGGAGTGTGAAGATGCGGTAAGCTATGATCACGCCACTGCACTCCAGCCTGGGCAACAGAGGGAGACCCTGTCTCAAAAAAGTAAAAAAAGAAAAAGAAAAGGACAGAAAGCAAAGGAAACCTGAAGAGAGCTTTGACAAAATTCAGCATAAAACATGTTTACAAAATTTAGATACAACAAACTAATGATGAAAGCAAACATAAATGATTTTGAAAATCCATTTAGAATGTGTTTAAAATAGATGCACCTAGAACAAAATAATATAAATATAAAAATTGTGGGCAAAATTTAATCACGAAAACAGAAAATAACAAGGTGGTAATATAAATTTTAGTAAAAAGAATTTGAGGCAAAATATAATAAATGTGTCCAAAAGGGAAATTTTCTCTATATTAAATAAGAAATATAATTCATAGTGAACATTATGTGTGCTGGATAATGTAACATCAAAATATGGAGCAATGTACTTCATGATCTAGCAGTTTTACTCCTGGATGCATTTCAATAGCAGTGTTTACTTCTAGCCACTGAAAAGAATGTACTAGAGTATAGCGGCACTTTCTATGATAGCCCCCAATGACCACCATCAATAGAATGGATAAATAAATAAATTGTGAAATACTCACACAATAGAATATTATACAACAATGAAAATGAATGTTCTGCACACAACAGACTACATAATCCTCACAGAATGCTGAGCAGAAGACGTTCACCACAATGAGCGCATGCCTGGTAGTTTCCATTTATACAAAGGGAAAAGCAGAAGAGGAAAAACCAATCTCTGCAGTTAGAGACCAGAGTGGGGATTTATCTTTGCGTGAGGGCAGAGGTGTAGCGACTAGAAGGGAGCCAAGAGCCCCATGGAGAAGAGGGTCCTGGGAATCTAGAAACGTCCTGGTTTTGAATTGTGCCAGCTTTGTGAAAAATTTTCGGACTGTCTGCTTGATTTGTGTACTTTCCTTTAAATATATTTTAGTAAAAAAATTTTTAAATGAAGGAAAAATTGTTAGAAATACAGGAGACTTGCACAGAAAATAGTTAGAGATTTTATCATACTGCTTTAGGTTTTCTGTTTAAATAAAAAACAAATTTTTGAGTAATACAGCTAGATTATATTAATGCATATTTATACTATATCCTAAAACATACACATACTCTTTTAAAACATTTTTGTTAATTCTATTTTATATCAAAGAGAAATCCTCACATCCTAAAAGCAGGAATTGTATACAACATGTGACAAATGTATACAATGTGTAATACAACATATTTGTTTAATATTTTAAACAAATATGAACATTAATCACTTGGAGTATCTCAAATAAATATTTGGCCAATGATTAAACCAAGACAGTAATCACAGTTATAATTGTAATTGTTTTTTAGAAAGTAAAAGGGAGAAAAATACATATTTTGTAAAAGTTTGTCCAGTTGTCTAAACCTGTATTTAGTGGCCAGTTCATAGTCTTAAATGCTTTTATTATTTTTAAAAAGTGAAAATCTGTTATGTTTACAATTCAGTTTGACAAAACAAGTATAAAATAGACCTAAGGAAGTAGGAGGGAGGATGCAATAATAGTTAAAGCAGCAAACAAAATAATTAGAAAAGAAGAAAAAAGAAAACAATGGACCTGACAAACAGATCTTAAATACTTCACTTCTTGAAAGGATAAAGAAGACAACATAATATAGATAGACCTTTAGCAAGTGTAATTAGCAATAAAAGAAAAATATAAAGAGAAACAAGAAACCCAACTAGAAGGAAATTTTTAAATAGAGTGCTTTATACTATTTTATACTAATATGTATTTTTAGATTGCAATGACAAATAGCAATTTTTGAAATTATAATTACAAGGATTTAATAAAATATTAAGTTACAAGAATTTAATAATTCTCATTATTAAATTATTATTAAATTTATCTCACTATTAAAAACTCCCTAATAGAATTATTGGAGAAATTGGAAGGATTCTCAGGATATTTTTTTCCAATTCATAGTTTGAGGTCAGATAGTTAATCATGAGTTTTTTCAGACTTCCCAAAGAGCCTTCTGATGGAGCTTGGAAGTCAGAGACCTGTTTATCACTTGGCTCTGCCATGTGCTGGCATTGCCATTTGACCTGGACTGACCTGCTTAACCTCGTTGAGTGAATGAATGACCCAGTGAATAAATCCTTGCATGCCAGAATGCCTTAGGCTTCTCAGAGATTATAAGACTGAAGTGAATTAATATATATGAAGTTCTTAGCATGGGATCTATTAAATAGTGGGCATTCAATTAATAGTGGGCATTATTATCAAATATTTTGCATAATAGTATATGGAAATCAGACTATGAGTAATCTTTTCATATTTATATCTTTTTTTTTTTTTTTAAGGTTATCCTGATCCAGAAAACTTTTCCTGGAGAGAATATCTGGAAGCTACTCAAACTAATGCAGTTCCTGCCAAAGTTTTTAAAATGGTAAGTTCTATATAGGTACTCCCTCTCACCTTTAAACAATGTCCGTGTTGAGTCATGCCTTCATTTGACAGTTTTAAATTCTATTGGTTTTTTTCTTTCTAAATTCAAGTAGTATTTGCATAACCAATTTCCTTTGCTTGTAGTTAAAAATACAAAGTAGGTGACTCATTTGGGGTTGTACCTATATACAAATGTCGATGATGATTTCCTTCTTTGCAAAACACAGTAGCTGCACATCAGAGGTGCTGTTGAAATCATCTCACCAACTGCTGATGACTGAATCCTTGCATTTCTGGGTCTATTAGTCTGCTGAGTGAGAACTCTGAACTTTCACAGTGTCACTTTCTCAGGGACTATTTGAATGTCAATAATGCTATAGTAAAGTAGTCTTTGTGTGTGTGTAGTTTTATCCATCTTGAGGGAACCTTTCTTTTAGCATTAGAATAGTAATTTTTAAAGTTCAAATTTGCACTTATATACTTGTTCCAGGGTTGAACTAAGTATAATTTCTAAAAGGAAGTGCATAGATAGTCTAGTTAGAGGGATTTATGTTCTAAACCAGTGGTTTTCAAACTCTGTTTGTTTTCAGTTCTCATGTGCTACAGGCTTCCTGGCTTATCTTTAATCAGAATTTAAATATTGGGCTTCTACATTTGATTTAGTTTATTGAAAGTTTTCTAGGAATCAAAAGGGGTTTGAAACAAAGTGCTGTTTCATTTTTTTAAAAAAAATGATTGTAATGGACTAGATTTGGAAGAAAATGTATAACGCATAGAATAAAACGAGGAAAGTAGAAGTGCTGGGGCACCAGGAAGTGTTTTAATAATTGCGGACATTCAATAAGCAAAAATGTCTAGATACCAGCAGTCTCTCTTTTTCCCTTGCTTTCTTCCAAAACTTTTCGATAGTTAAATTTCCTTGGTTTCAATAATTTGCTAAGTCTCAGTGTCTTTTCTTAGTCCAGTTTCTTTATGACTGCCTGTGAATCTGTCGTTATAGATTCTCTATTTCTAGCATTTTAAGACTTAAAAGACACCTTAACATGGATCAACCCTCTTGGGTTACAGATGAAGTGACAAAAACATAAATTATGGCTTTAAATTATATCATAATGTGATTTTAAAACAGTTTAACAGTTAAAATTATGCAGCTTTAATCTAAGCATATTTTAAAATTTAGATTTATACATAATCATATTTATCCTTTCTAATTATTTATTAAGTAATTTTGCCTTCTAGGCCATACACTTTGAAGCTGGCCAGTGACAATAGTCAATAATTTCTTAATTTGTAAGGTTCAATTCAGAAAAAAAGAAAAAAGCCTAATCTAATATCTAAACCATATTAAGATCCTCTTTGAGCCTTGGCATGATCATTAACAGGATTATGATTTAATATGTCTCAGTCATTTTAGCTATCTTTAAAATGACCAAAAAATTCTTTCTCTTCTCACAGGCTTTTGTGAAACTGGACAAAATAATATGGATAAGTCCTATGTGTTTTTAAAACTAAGTTCTAGATGTATTGATGATCTACATGTTAAAACTACAACAATAGTATTTTAGAAAAAAAATTTAGTAGAATATCAGAATTATTGAATTTTGCATGATTTGTTGTACTTCTAATATTACAGAGGTTGCCTCATGGTTTTCTGCCAAATATGAAACTTGAAGTTGTGGATAAACGAAATCCCAGGTTAATTCGTGTTGCTACAATTACAGATGTTGATGACCAAAGAGTAAAGGTACATGTTTTAAATTATTATGTTATTATGTTTTAGTATTTTCCCCCCACATTTCTTCTATTACCCCCACCCTCCTATTCTCTGTACCTTCCTCAATTTTTAATTCATTTGCACAATAGCTTTTCTGGGGGGAAAAAATTCTAGATCTGACCTTGAAGATAGATTGACCTTGGCCAAGATGGTACTAAGAATAATAGGATCCCAAAGACAGGCTGGCAGAAAGTGTAACTCACACACGAGGCTGGCTAGAGAGCCTCTGATTTGTTTGGTACAGTGGAAGATTAAAACTCTGACTGGCTTAATTTCTAGTCTCATGTCTTTGGGTAAAATATTTTCAGTTTATATGTATATGAAGTTGGAAAATCTATAGATTAGATCTAACTGACTTTGAGAGGGATTCTAATACATCTCTGTTTGGATTTGTTGTTTCAAATTTTACTGTCAGTTTTTTTTAAGCTTTTTTGTTGGCATTATCAGATTTTTCTTGAAATTGTTGTCATTAAACACCTTACCAAGAACAATTAAATCTTTGTTTCCTAATTTTCTTTGTCAAATAGAAAAATATTAAGAACCCTTTAGTCACTGTAGCTAAAATAAAATGTTAGGTTATAAATTAAAGATTTTTATTAATGGTTAGATTTCTGTACTGTCCTTGTTGATGACATCTGGTTTATTAAAAGCATACACATCTTCATAATGAAGTTTTCCTAAGATGTAAGCCTTTTTCCCTCAGACAAAGAGCTGAAGGCATCTGTGGAATTCATTAAACCTTCTATAGCATATGACAGTTCAAAAATTATTTTCTACTCAACTACAGTTGTTTTCATAACAATCAAAAGATTGAGGTTATCTTATTTTAATAAGCACTATTTTAAAGGATGTGTTTAAGTTTGATATATAGTTTATTATAATTTAAAAGAAATCTTATTTTCTATATTCCTAATTTGAAAATAGTATCTAATTCAATTTATAGAGAATGATCAGTACTTAAATTTTAGTAACATTTGGAGGTGAGTGTCTGGCTTGGCTGTAGATTATCAAGTATGCCTACTGGCAATGTCCTCCATTCTTCTGACAGATGAGAGCAATTCATGTGTTAAACACTGTTCTGGAATAACATATTATAAGCCTTTTCTTCCATATACCTATCAGTGTTTTATTTTAAACATATTGCTTTAATTCTTATTTATTTGTAGCATTTTATTGTTTACTCTTATGGCACTTACTATGGAAATGACTTTTATCTATCATAATTATTTCATAAATTCAGTGATATTTTGTTATTGACTTTCATTTTAAAATTATTGCATTTCTAGGAAAAGCTCAATCTTAATAGCATATCAAATTCTACTTAGCATCTTAACTGAAAGACTATTTTTTTATTATTCATGAGATATGTACTCTAGAATCCAGTTGACCATTTGTTGCCAGTTTATTATGTGAACGTATTGGATTAGCCTATTACTTTAAAATATTATTTGAAAAAACTTTAGCTCCCAAAGTGTATTTATTGTATTTCTTATTTATCATCTCAGCATTGATCTTTTAAAATCTCCAGGCATTTAGCTGATCTGTTTTTGTAGTGGTAATTGCTTTGTCCTTTACTAGAGGAAAAAGTTGAAAAGTATCTGGTATCTCTGGAAGAATTAGAACCATCGTAGTTGTCTCTGTGGTTGTGGGCAGAATGGAAATCCCTTTAGGATTTTAGGGCTGCGTTAAGATGTGTTTATGCAAGTGTCACTCTCTACCCTGTGAAATGATGTTTTATAAAATGTGAAACAAATTTTTTCAACATACCATTAGGTCTACCAGAATATATCAGATTTGCAGTGGACATAAATGTCTTAGGTCTCATGTCGTGCTTCAGGTCTACATATAGCTTCTGACCTCTCAAGTGGTGGCCTTCAGCACACAGTTTCTGGATGGTCCTGCCATGCACCCTCCACTGTGCACCCTCCTCCAATCAGTCTCAGAGTTGGGTAAATATTGTCTTGCCCCAGGACATAGAGGAGGAAAGACTGCCTGTGGGCTGGTGTTTTTCTGAGTATAGAGGAGTCAGAAGTAATAGCTTAAAATTCCATTCATCAGTGTTGCGAAGGGAAAAAAGGCATTAGAAATGAACATCAGGCTTTTTCTCTTAAAGTCTTATGTAAGGGGTAGACAAAGCTACCTTTGGCAAGTGAGAAAGCATTTGAAACTTTTCTGATTTCCTTTCGCCCAGCACATTCCTCTATTATTCAATTAATGTGTTGATCACATTATTCGTTAAATTTCTCTTTTAAAGTCAATGTCCTTCAAAGATGATTTTTATACCTGGCGTGTAATTGATGCTTAATATACTAGTGAATGAATGAAAGAGTGAGTGAAGGAGTGAATGGCACTGAATGTACTTTGGCATTCTGACTGTTATTTGAATATGTATAAACTGTTTGGGTCAAAAAGCACTCTTCCCTCATTCTTAATTTCTTTGCTGATTACTCTTCCATTGGAATCTAATTCAACATAATGCACTTGAAAGTGCCCTAGGATAAGACTGATCTGGGTTCAAATTATAGCTCTCACTTATCTAACCGTGTTACTAACGTGGTGAAGTTACTCAACTTATTCAAACTTTCCTCCTCTGTCAAGTGATGGGGTTAATAATACCTACCTCATAGGCTTGTTGTGAAAATTCAGTGAGGTAATGTATATAAAATGTATAGGCACTCTCTATAGAACCTTCAGTGGTAGCTGTTGCTATTAGTTGGTTTGAATACCCTGGGTGTATTTATTTTCCATGTTAATGAAGGGGCCTCATGGAAATAAATATCAGTAGATGGACAAGGAACAAGTGTACACTCCTTGGTAAAAAAAAGCAGGGAAATCCCCTGGGGAATGTTAACATGAGCACATGTAAGTATGCTGAACACCTGTGTTTGACTGTACGAGCAGAGTTAGTCTGTTTTAATAAAAAGAATTACATTTGTAATGATGATGACAGTAATCATGGCACTTCATCTTTGTCAGACACTGTTCTAAGGGCTTTAAATGCATTAATGTATCCTCACTACAACCGTGTGACAGAAGGTACTATTATTATACCCATTCTACAGATGAGGAAACTGAAGCCCAGAGAGGTTAAGTAATTGATCAAAGGTCACAAACTGTCTAGCTATATAGGAAAACAGGATTTTTGACCCCGATTTCAAGCATAAATTTTCAACTCTAGAGCTTATAATATTCCTACTCCTTTTACTTCTGTATTCTAATTTTCATCCTAACTAACATACTTCATTGATGTGTAGGATGGGGAGTAGAGACCACCCGTGACTCCACTCCACATTGTCACTTGTGCCCAAGCCCACATTGCATGTCCTGCCTGAGGTGTGTGTGTGGTACCAGCAGTCCCTACCAGAGCTCAGCAGATCCACTAAAGACTGACTTCATTCCTTTCAGCCACTCCCCAAATATGTTGCTGCCCTTATGTGCTTCATTAGTTCTGTTTTTATTACATCTTTTTTGAGGTATAATTTACATATCATAAAATTCAATGGTTTTGAGTATGTTCACAAAGTTGTGCTACTGTCACCACTAAGTTTAGAACATTTTCATCACCCCAAAAAGCAGCCTGGTACTCCTTAACAGTGGTTCCTCATTCTACCCTCCCTCCCCACAACCAATCCCCTGACAGTCACTATTCTACTTTCCACCTCTGTGGATTTGCCTATTCTGGGCATTTCATATAAACTAATCCTGTAATATGTGAACTTTTGTGATTGGCTTCTTTCATTAGTTTTTTGGGGTTTTTTTGTTTTTTGTTTTTGAGACAGAGTCTCGATCTGTCACCCTGGCCAGAGTGCAATGGTGTCATTATAGCTCACTATAACCGTAAACTCCTGGGCTCAAGCGATCTGCCTTGGCCTCCCAAGTAGCTGGGCTGTAGGTGCGTGCCATGATGCCTGGCTAATTTTTCTATTTTTAGTAGAGACAGGGTCACACTCTTGCTTGAGCTGATCTCTAACTCCTGAACTCAAACCATCTTCCTGCCCCAGACTGCCAGAGTGCTAGGATTACAGGTGTGAGCCACCACGCCGAGCTGGCTTCTTTCATTTAGCAATAATGTTTTCATGGTTCATCCATAGTGTAACAAATATCAGCACTTCATTCCTCTTTATTTCTGAATAATATTCCATTGTATGGGTGCACCACATTTTTTTTATCCATTCATCAGTTGATGGGCATTTGGGTTGTTTCCACTTTTTGGCCATTTTGAATAATGCTGCTATGAACATTCATGTATGTTTTTGTGTAGACATATGTATTCATTTCTTCTGGGTATGTACCTAGGAGTGGAATTGCTGAGTCAGTGGTAACTCTATGTTTAACATTTTGCAGAACCACCAAAACGTTTTCTGAAGTGGCTGCACTATTTTTACTTTCCCAGTAGCAGTGTAGGAGGGTTCTAATTTCTTTATATATTCACTAATACTTGTTATTGTATGTTTTTTTTATTTTGTTTCATTTTTGTTTTTGTTTTAGCTTTTCTAGTGGACCTCATATACTTTAGATCCAAAGAATCATTTATTATTTATATGTGCCCACTAATAATATCCTGGCCAAAAGAAGTAGGATGAATTAACACTTGCTTAGTAGTGATTGCAGTTATAGGAGTCGTAACGATAGTGGCTGTAGGGTGTAAGTATCAAAAGTAATAGAAACAGTAATAGTAGAGTAGGAAGACACCGTTATTGAATGTACACTTTATTCTGGGCACTCAGCTAATAAGTATGTTGTGTATCACATCTTTGTCTTCACGACAACTCTTTTAGGTAGGTGTTATTTCTGCTGTATAGCTGGCATGGAGAACTTAAGTAATTTGATCAGGGTTTCAAGGTGTTAGATGTTTCTAATCCAAAGATAGTACTCTATATTTTAGCAATTACCCTGTAGCTGTGATAAGCCATTGGAATTGGAGACCATAAATTGTCAATGTTGGGAGGGTGGGACAGTGGGCAGCCTGA